TGGTGCAACCATTATTTTAGATATTTTTTTGGATTACACCATCAGGAGCGATTGTCTGAAGGCCCTTAATGTCACTTCATTTTATTTTGTTTGTGGCATTAAGATACTTGTATAATGAGCGATCCTATAGAATATGGGGCTAATCACCTTATCTCCCTACCATCTTCCCGTTAATCTTCATCCCTTCCGCCAACCAGTCTGATGCAAGCAGTCCCATCTTAGTGGCATCCGTCGGAAATTCGTCCGTCCACGTATCTACAGCCTCACTGGAGCCTCAGTCACAATTTAGTATCTCTCCACAACATATCTCAGAGTCTCAGCACCCTTCGCTTCTCCCATCCGTTTCTCCTACTCGTTTTAGCCTCACTTGCTCTTCTCCACAACCACTACCTTCAAATGTAGATACAGCAACGCCTCGCCGCTCATCAACCGACTCCCAGTTGGCGTCTCAATCCTCCTTCATTACCAACTCACCAGCACTTATGAATACTTCTGTTTCTCCTTCGCATCATCTGCCTCATTCACGTCCAGCCATGCCCGACCTAGCTAAGTCTACGGGTCTCATTAGTGATGAACAGCAGAAACGATCACAACCGTCTGATCGACCTACCTGCGATGCATTGACTCCGCTTACTTACCCGTGTCCACATTGCCCTCGTAAGCTTCGCCACCTCAAGCTATTGAATGCTCACATCCTCAATTACCACAAGACGGTTGCCTCTGGCTCATCTCACGGGTCAGATTCATTCATTGATATAGTGACAACACAGACGACAACAACCTCTACTACAGCGTCTTCTCCAGCTCTTCAACCGATGGTAATTACGATGAGTATTACCAGTGACCGTATGAGTGCTACTCCAGTGTCTGCTGCTACACCTCTCTTACGCAATCTCTCACCGATGCCCGGGGCTTCATGCGAGGCAAAGCGACTATCTAGACACACGCCTTCATCAATTAATCTCAGGCCAAGTGGAGGTAGTGAATCTGAAATTTCGATGAGTGACATAAAAGTTAAGTCGCCACTTCGAGACCAGACCAGAGAGGGTTCACGAACCACCTCGGCCCCTGAAGCTCAGGGTAAACTGGTGCGACGTATTTCGTGAGTGCTAGTCTGTATAATTAAAAAAGATCATCATGTTTAATA